CTTCCTTTCCCCACCTCGTGTTTAGAAACGCTTGCCTGTCCCAGGTTGTGAAGTAGAGGAAAGCACAGGCATGGTGTGGTATCTAGTAACAGATGTCTAAAACAACTCAAGGTATGCACTGCTAGTTGGCAGTGGGAATTATGTCAAGGTCAGAGTTGAGGGTATAAATCTTCGCATTGTATGAATTTATTTTGTGTCTCTTAAAAGCTTGCCATGGCTGTCTCCTAAGTGTCTTGGAGTGGAAGGAAGGGGGCAAGTGGAGCTTGGGTCAGATGTGCGCTTTTGGCACAAATTAAACCGCACTCTGATCTCATCGGAATGGTCAGTCAGGACAGAGCAGAGGAAATGTAATTACACAGAATTGTATTTTCTCCTAACCCTTACCTTTTGGCCATAACTCCTAAGTATAGACTGGAGATATTTTCTTAGAAAAATCAAAAGAATATCTACTGAGTCTTCCAAAGTAAGAATTGGCTTATGGGCTGTTGATATCCGGTGGGGTTAATTATAGTCTTACAGCTGTGATAGAGATCAAAATCAGTTCAAACCAAGGTCAGCACCAGTTGGAACTGTGTCTCACACTTAGGCTTCATCTTAGACCAGGTTGTATTAAACAGCAAAACCCAGGCAATACAAATTTTATAATTACATAAGGGCTTTAGAATTGTTTCAACCTTCCAAACCTGTATAAAAATAATATTCTACTTGTTTCTAATAAACGAGACTGATATCATGAGCAAACCTAGGTGTAGAAGCCCCAGTGGCTTTTGCTTCTCACAAGTCTCACTGCAGAGACCTTAGGTTGTGAATGAGCTCAAATACTATGGAGTAACTTGGGGCATCTCAGTGCTGGGGACCCCGCAGGTCTGGTTCGGTGGGGCGCTGGGCATGGTAGCTTCTCTCGTTTGTTTGAGGGTGATAAACTCTTGTTTCTATTAGCATAATAAACAATATTTCCAGCAGAGTGGCTGGAAGAACTGAGTGGGAAAGCGAGATGGCATAAAGTGTCGCCCACGGTGGAGTCCTGGCCATGGCCGCTCAGGAGATGAGTGCTGCTCTCTGCCCCACAGCCCAGGGAATTGTGTTCAGTTCTAGACTTTGAGGGGAATAATCTTCTAATATCAAAACTGCCCACATTTAATCTCATCATTCCATTAGAAAATCATCCCCTTTAATTAAAAGTTACCCTAAAATAAACCACCAAGGCAGCCTATAATTCCTTTATAAGATTTTATTCTTAATATATAATGTTTTTATGAAAATTTGAGTAATATATTTTAGTTAACCATCATAGAGCTAAAACTTAATAGTCCTTGTCTGATCAGGAAACTGGGAAGTGGAGAATACTACCAGTATCACTAGCAATCATGGTAGTTCTCTTGGCTCAATAAAAAGTTCAGGCATCGGGAAATGAAACATCATTTCACATCCTGCACCCCAGTTCCACTCGTCTCCCGCTCCCTCTGTATCCCACAAATCTGACACTGCCCTTGTAGTGTCCCCCACCAAGAAAACTAAAAGAGAAGTGATAAATATAAGATAAAAATAAAAACAAGTAAAATATACAAATAAGAATATTAGTTAAACAACATACAACAACGACAACAAACTTGAAAAGTAAATGAAAACCCCTACTTTGCTGTTCCATCTTTCCTGCCTCTCTATCCCCTCTTCATCTGTCTTGGTGGCACTGGGAGCAGCTGTGTACCATGCAGTACACACGTTTGTCCACACAGCTCTACTTGCAAACGTCCATTGTGTAATGTAATGAGTTGTTGGTCAGGTTCAAGGCCTCTGGTCTGGCACACCATCAACACTGGTCCCTCACCAAATGTCTTCTCGGATATCTTTCTGTTTCCCCTAGTCATGGAGATCCAGGGACCATGGTTCTACAGGGCCAGTCCTTCACACACTCCAGCAGGCCATCGATAGGGTAGAGGTTGGGGAGTGCCCACCCACAGCCCTGGATGTGTGCCTGGGTGGTAGCTGAGCTGATCTGACCTGGTCACTGGGACCACCCGCCTCCGGAGAGGGCCAGAGCCAGTTTACCCATGCCTGTGGTGAGGAGTGAGACCAGCTTTCCCACGTGCTCTCCTATAAGGGGCAGGGTCAGCTCTCCTGTGCTGGGATCATGAGGGTCTGCTATCGCAAGGTCAGAGAGGAGAGGGTCAGCTCTCAGGTGAGGGACTGGGGTTTTCTCTGCGTGGCCTTCACACCTCAACACGTGGTCCAACATACGATTCAACACCCGGTTCACATGGGCCTCTGCGGCAGCATGGGCAAAGGACATCAACACAGATAAAGGGCCATATTTTTATGCAGTGTAGCAATATTCCCTTGGTGGCCAGTGAGATTAATGAGTACAGTGCAGAGAAACAGCCCCAGTCCCCAAGAACATATTTACCCAGCTCATTTGCTCTTAGGGAATAGTCTGTGTAGAAGGAATACATACCACTATAGAAAGGCCTTCTTGAAATATTCCTAAATCACTTTATAATACAATTAAAAAGAATCTCTGCCTGTGAAGTTTGATGTAATACCTTTGTTTATGCTTCAAGCAAAGTTATATTGGTAACAATATTAAATTAGAATCAATTTAGTGACAGTTGGTATATATTTTTAACTAAATCTTTTTTTTATTAAAACAGACAATTTCTGAAGATTAGAAACGTATAGCTAATTTATCAATGTGTATTACTTTATTTTGTTTTTGCAATGCTGAGGATGAAACCCAGAGCCCATAACAGCTTGGTAAGCTTTCTAGTGATCAGCTAAAATCTTAGTCCTTGCAGGCACGATGCTGACACGTACGTATTTCTACAGAGAGAAATAGCCAACCTATATCTTTATGGGGATAACTTGTAAATTAAAGCTATAGCATTTATTGTTTTCAGAAATAATGCTCATTTTTAGGAGACCTTTGTAAAAATGGAAAAGATTAGGACATATTAGTACAAATCCAAATAGCTAACAAGGTAAGAGCTAGATAAATGTCTTAGTAAGGGTTCACTATTGCTGCGAGGAGACACCGTCACCATGGCAGCTCTGGTACAAGAGGCTGGCGGGCAGTTCAGAGGTTCACATGGCAGCGTACAGGCAGAGGTGGGGCTGGAGCTGAGAGCGCTACGTCTTGTAGACAACGGGAAATCAACTGACTGTCACACTGAGGGAAGCTTAGAAACGGTGTCAAAGCCCACCCCAGCTGAGACACACTTCCAACAGAAGGTGTGGCCCAGATTAAAGGTGTGCCCTCCAACCTCAGGGTTTGGATTTAAGACGTGAGTCATTCAGCCTCCTCCAACAAGACCATACTTCTTCCAAGCAGGCCACACTTCCGAATAGTGCCACTTCCTTTGCTTCCTATGAGATTCTGGAGCAAATACATTCAAACGATCACAGTCACTGTGTGTGTGTGTGTGTGTGTGTGTGTGTGTGTGCATGTGTGTGTGTGCGCATGTGTGTGTGCATGTGTGTGTGTGCATGTGTGTGTGTATGTGTACGTGTGTGTGCGCATGTGTGTGTGTATGTGTGCATGTGTGTGTGTGTGCATGTGTGTGTGTGCGCATGTGTGTGTATGTGTGCATGTGTGTGTGCATGTGTGTGTGTGCGCATGTGTGTGTGCATGTGTGTGTGTGCATGTGTGTGTGTATGTGTGCGTGTGTGTGCGCATGTGTGTGTGTATGTGTGCATGTGTGTGTGTGTTACTATGGATATAGCTCATGGCCTCATCAATATAAGCATATACATTATAACTGAGCTACATCCCCAACTCCGTTTCTCAGCAAAATCACTTTGGTCGTGTAGCTTTTCCTTAACAGTTATAAAAATATGCTCTTGGGGGGCTGGAGAGATGGCTCAGTGGTCAAGAGCACTGGCTGCTCTTCCAGAGGTCCTGAGTTCAATTCCCAGCAACCACATGGTGGCTCACAACCATCTGTAATGAGATCTGGTGCCCTCTTCTGGCCTGCAGGCATACATGAAGGCAGAATGTTGTATACATAATAAATAAATTCTTTTAAAAAATATGCTCTTGAAGATAGAAAATTATCTACAGTTGAAAATTTTGAGATCACCAGAGATTTTATGACATGCATATCTACTAGATAAAATGGGTTCAGGTCACTACTCACAGCTATCTTTTATGATTTATTTTGTCTATTAATGATTTTTATTTTTTTAAATTAGAATATAATTTCATCACTTCCCATTCTCTTTTCCCCCTCCAACCACCACTTATATTTCCCTTTTCTCAAATTCATGGCCTCTTTTTTTAATTGCTGTCATATATATGACATGTATAACATACATGTCTCACACACATATATGCATCCCTAAGTGTAGAAATACAGCCTTCTCAGTCTGTATCATGTTCCTTATCTGCATATTATTTCAGTGCTGACTTTAGAAGATATTTTTAATATATAGAATTTATACTTTCAAAAGATGTATATTCTCTCCAGCAGGCACAGAAATACCATTGCAAGGGATGGCAGCTCATTTACTCATGGAAGGGACTCTCTGGCTCATAGCAATTTTTGTTGATCTTGAGTGGCTTTCTGATCCAGGATCTAATATGTGGAAAATGCCATGCAGTCTGTGAAAAGCATACACACACCAAGAGGTCTTCCATGGGGCCACACTAGCTATCTCCGCATGAGAGAAGATAGCCTTACAGTGAGCCTACCATCAATCTTCTGAAAAGTACCGAGTACACCTCTCAGCCTGGGGTCTGCGAGTCTGGGCTCCCCATTAGCTCAAGCAGGATGGCCAGCAGCGGTACTGGGATTAGATGGAAGAGGTTGGGAACGTGAGAGCCTCCTGCCACCGAGTAACAGGCTGTGTAGACAGAGGGACAGCAAGGTAGTTCAGGAGAAAACCATCAGATGCAGGACTGCAGCAGCATCTCACCGCCAGGTTCATGCGGTCTTCCTTAAAGGACGCGGGCGGGTGAACGGAGATGGCTAAGATAGAAAAGTCACTTACCATTGCCTGTTTTCCAGAGCGCTGCAAATGTAAGCCCGTCAGAGCCACACAGAAGACCTATTTCCGAAACAACTACAACTACGGTAAGGGTACCTTCACAGTCCGCTCCCAGACTCTTGTGTCGGGAAACCTGTGTGTATGTTATATGTACGTGCTTGCGTGCACGCAAACGGGTAGTTTAAGCATAAGGCTTAAAGACCGAGGAGGACGCTAGCAAGGGTGTCCTCAGCTTCAGCTGATTAAAATGTTATCATGGTGGCTGCGTTCTTGTCAAATGCCTGATGGGTTTATCAAGCATTTTTTTTTTTTTAAACCAAAGTATTGAGTACCCAGATATCAGTTTCAAAGAAGTTCTCGTCTCTGGGTCGGTACCTGGATTGCAGCTGAGCTCCCCTGGAGTGATGAAGGACACTAGAAAGCCATACTTACTGGTTCTTGACATCCATCTAAGGGCACGGTTTGCTGTTTTACTTAACCAAACATTGAGATAAGGTAAATGCTAATTGAAGAGTCACCTGTACAAACAGAGCTGGCCGACAGAAGGGGAGGATGCTATCTCTACAGGGACTCTTTTAGGTGCTTTCCACATACTATCTCATTTAATTTCCCGACGGTTCGTGAACAGTCTTCTTATCCTGGTTTTATGAGTGATTTTTCGAGCCAAAGCTGCCCCTTCTTACATTATACATAACATATTTGGGGAACTGTTGGCCTCCAACAAACATCACTCTCATGTCAATAAAAATCACTGTCGTGTTTCAGAGAGGCAGTCACCAGAGTCCCTCAGCTGGTACAGGTCTGCCCTGTGTTACTGCAGTCCACAGACTTCTCCTAGAATCGCCTTAGAACAGAGGTTGAATATCCCTTATCCAAAATTCTTGGGACCAGAAGTGCTTAGGATTTCAGACTTCTATTTTGTATTTTGGAATGCTTGTGGATAGGCAATAATCTTTGGAATAGGGCTGAAGTTTAAGCCTGAAATGTGTGTTTCATAGACCACGTTTCCTGAAGGTGACTGTAGAGGCATCTTCAGTTTGACTGGGACCTGTCTCAGGAAGTCAGGTGTGGAATTTTCTGTTTGTAAAATTGTACTGGATTTGGCAGTGGGAATGCTCAGCCTGTGGATGAGGCCGACAGGGTCAGGCCACTCTCTGATCCTGAGCTAGTGAGTAGACATGGGTGGCAGAGTCCTCCTAAGAGAACTGTGTTATTAAAATAAGAATGTAGTCTTCCTATGCCTTATTTTAGAGGATATAGAGCATGGAGAGATTTATTTCAACTTCTGCAGTTTGGGGACTTGGAAGGAGAGAAATTTAAAAAACCATGACAGTAATATTGTTTAAGGATCGTAAGGAAAGAAACTCCTGGGGGTGGGTGAATTTGAATGCAACTTCTTCCCCAAGTTTCTCTTCAATGGAACAAATTTTTATCTTTTGCTTGTAAGTTATTTATTTTTAGACTCTGTACTTCAAAGGCTAGCCTTGAATTTGCTCTGTAGCCCAGGTTGCCCCTGAACTTCTATTCTTAGCCTTCCTGCAGTTGGAGTTGTGGGCATGTGCTGCCTGGCCCAGCTGACCGCTTATCTTCAGCGGAATCTTAGCCACTCTTGGTTAGTGAGGATAGACAGACCAGGGAGGGACAGACATCCCGGGGCTAAAGGTTTAGTCTGTCTAAGAATCAAATGCTGGACTCCTCCCCTTGTGCAAGCTGATGTGACTGCAGGGGAAAAAAGGCCTTCATTTTCAGAGAGCTAGCCTTTTAAGGATTCATAAAGGCTATGTGAACTTTTAAGTACAATTATGATAAAAAATAAAAACAATTTTGTACCAGGGCCTAGCAGTGTTGGGGAAGTGCTTGCTGGGCATGCACGGAACCCTGGGTGAGATCATTAGTCCCACTTGAAACTGGTTGTGTAGTTCAATGTCATCCTCTGGTACATAGCAGGTTGGAGGCCAGCCTGTGGTATGTGAGAGTCCATCAACAAACAAGCAGGCAGCAGCAGCAGCAGCAACACACACACACACACACACACACACACACACACACACACACTTTAAAAAAACACCAGCAACAAAGAATCTCTCCCAAGAGATGAGTCGTTTCTATGTGTCTTCACATTCTACTTCCAATGTTCTCTAGCTTCCCTGTGAACGCAGTAGCTGGTGGTACTCTTATCATTAGAAGTTCAAGCACTAATCACTACCAATCACTGAAGAGCTCTTAGAGAAGGTAGCTGAGTGAGTCTTGTGATAGGAGATTGGCTGTGGATCACAGCTGATATAAGGAGGGGCCTTGTGTGGGGGCTTACACCTGTAGTCTGTCCCGACACTTGGTAATAAAGCCACAAGGACCAAGAGTTCAAGGTCAGCCTCACCTGTACAGCAAGCCCAAGGCCAACCTAGGTTTCCCCTGTCACAACTGGGGGTTAACAGGAGGGAAAATATTCTCTTTTCATAGTCAGATACTAACCAGGCTACCCATGAGTCAAAGATTAGCTTTTGGGTAGAACTTACAGATTCATAAGGCAAAGCAGGGCTAGAAGGTAAACCATGGAACAGAAATATTTTTTTAGTATACTGACTTTCACTTGAGGTACTTGCGTGCATCTCCCGAGAAAACAAAGTACAGGTAGGAACAATTGGCAGTTCCTATAAAACCGCTGCCTTATTCTTGACAAACTCAGTAAAACGTTGTGAGTTTTACCCAAATTCCTTGGATAAGGTAGGTGTTGTGGAGAGAGGTGTTTTCTTTGGAGTAGGTGCATGTGCTAAAAATTTCTAATGGGAACAGCGGGCGCCCTGGGTAAATAAATCATTAGCTCGAGAACATTTGCACAGTGCACCCAGCGCTATTGACGGCTGGGTACTGTGGACCACATTCATTTCAGTCAGGACGCACACAAACACGGCTGCTAGCTGGGACTCCCCTTGCCAAACAGGCCAGGCAGGGCCAGCGGGGCAGTTCGGCTTGGTCTGCCACAAGCTCTCGTTCTTGCACTGGAACAAATGGAGACTCCGAGGACTGAACTAGTCGTGAAACAAAAATAAGGCTTTATCCTAAAGATTTACAAGTTGTGGAAAGTGAATCTCTGTCCTGTGCACGACTTAACGGTAGGCCATTAAGTTCCTGGGATCGAGTTGGAACATAGGTGGGGGAATGAGTTGCCAGCTTGTTTTGGATTTTCATGGAGGGATTTTTCAATCTTGTATCGATTCGAACACCTAAAATACCTGGGAGAGTCTGTGCATGCCTACCTACCTAGAAAGCCTTCCCAAAGTGGATTCACTAGGATATATTGTATTCTTCTGTGGACACTGTACTAATATGACAAGGCTTCCCGAGCAATGGCTGTTGACATTTTATTAATTGGCATCTTCACATTTTTCTTAAAAAAAAAAACTTTGCTGTAAAAATGCTTATGTATCAGAAGAGGAGATCTCCACAATATGGCTCTTCCAAAGGGAAGCAGAAGACGCGTACTCTGTAGATTCCCGGTCATAGAGTGTGATTAGCAGTGGAGGACGATTTGTCTTTGGACTGAGAAGGGAGGCTGGGTCCTGTAAGAGAGCAAGAGCTAGCATAGTACTTTCATCGCGAGAGGAGACGGAGGCTACTTCAGGATGGTAGTTTCTCCATGACACGGTAGGGTCATGGAGTGGTGGAGTCGCTGACAAAGTAGATGGAGGAAACAAGGTCTGGTAGACAACTTTCCTTCACGAAGAAAGTTCAGTCCACCTAAAAGACATAGAAAACATGGCAGTGACGTGAAAGGCCGTGCCGATGTCTGCATGGTGAGCTGAGGTGGAAACGGTTAAGAGATTGAAGAACCCGTTTGCAAACACTACCCAACAGGACTGTGTCGTAACCCTGAAGAGATCCCGCCTCGAAAAGAAATCAATCAAGGGAAGAAACAAAGTAGAGAGTGGAGTCCAGGCCTTTCCACAGGGTGGAATCAGTGTGAGCCAATTCCTCTTGGCAGCAATTGGTGCTGCACGCATGCACATTCATACATCCCAAGTGAGACTCTGGAGGGAAATTAGAACATTACTCAATCAATTCTGATTAGCTAAGTGGGTTTTTGAAAATCAAACACTTGTACACACACGCATGCATATATAAACACTAGTGTATGCAGATACAGATACTTTTATGTATTTAATTTCATTAAAGAAAAAGGTCTGCCTTACTTCTCCTAGTCATCAAGTATGAACTTGAAATGAGTTGGCTGGAAAGAATTCTCTTGGCTCTTTTGCAATGGTGTGCCTACTTTGGATCTTCATAGAAACCGGATTCCCTTTCTTTTATCCAGTCATCCGGGCTAAAGTCAAAGAGGTAAAGACGAGGTGCCACGATGTGACCGCCGTTGTGGAGGTGAAAGAGATCCTAAAGGCGTCTCTGGTGAACATCCCCAGGGATACCGTGAACCTCTACACCACCTCTGGCTGCCTGTGCCCCCCACTTCACGTTAACGAGGAATATGTCATCATGGGCTATGAAGATGAGGAACGCTCCAGGTAGTCACCCTAAGAGTTCAGGGTCGCGTCTACTTCCCAGGCATTATGTTTCTCTTTACACATCTTGCTGTGACGTTCTTGTCTTCTCTACTTCCTTGGGCACTGTAGCTACATTTTTAATTTTATATATTGGATAAGAAAGGATGTAAGTATAATTTGTGGGTATGGATTTTTCTGGAAAAAGGGATCGTAGCTTCATTTATTTCTAAAAGAGGTCCATGACTCTTTCCAACTCTCTGACCTCTCTATTCTAGAATAAACATATTTAGTCTTTCTTGCCACCAATTCCTTGACTTTTTCAATAACATACTTTGGTTATTCAAACGTGGTCATTTGATTTTCAAATCGCAGGTTACTCTTGGTGGAAGGCTCTATAGCTGAGAAGTGGAGGGATCGGCTGGGTACGAAAGTCAAGGTAAGATTAGATTTTATGTTTCAAGTGGTAACGCACTGGGGCTGGGGACTTGGCTTTGGCAGAATGCTTACGTAGCAAGCACACTCCAAGTTTCAGTCCACAGCCCCAGAAAAACAATAGTTCTGCTTGCTAATATAGTCTAGAGAAAACCATCTCTCATATAAATTAAATAGTTGCCCTCACCTTCATGAGAATATTAAGACCTGATATTCAGACACGTATGCATAGACATATACACATACATTGAATATTCTAGAAACTGGAATTGTCTTTAATGTCTATTCATCGGAGGATTGAATTCGCTGTATGTGCACCAAAGCTCTGACTGCAGTTGCCCGCCCTTCTTGTGAGACTGCCTATAGCTAGCCAGTCAGCACGGACTGGTGTCACACTATCATGGGAATGGCAGCCTCCTGACAATTAATTCATCTGCCATCGGTAGGGTATCACTTCCATCTCCATGTTCAGTAGAAGTTCCAAAGGACTGTTCTAATGTTAACCTAACACTTCATTTCGGGTGGGAAAAAGGAGGAGGAAAACACGCCTTTCCAAGAATTCTATCCAGAAGCTTTATCTTAGAGTCTTTGGTCAGGACAGGTGTTGTTTTGATCTCCAGTTGCCAGGAGTAGGGAATAGAAAAATTTTATTGTTTCTAAACAAATTGTTCTTTTCCGGGAAGGGAAAAAAATCAATGATAAATGAAAAACCTACCACAATGAGTAATGTACAGACATCAATTCCTATGAACAAGTCGCTGCCACTGTCATCAGTGAAGAGGGGATCCCGCCAAATTAAGTCCTGAGAACTGCATGTGGCTTTCGTATTTCATATTAAGATCCTAGAATCAATATATCAAAAAAAAATCAAGTAGTGAATTACTTATTAAAAAAGGTTTTCATTTTTTTATTAGTGAACTAGTACATCTTTTTCAAAGCGGAGAACGAAAGAGGGAAATGCTGAAGACTCCTAGGATGTGTGCTGGGGTGGAGGTGGGAATCGCACCAAGCACAACACACCCTCTTCTCTTGGAAGGCTTGGGAAGGATTTACAAGGAAAGCTAAACACCCCTAGGCAGTTGATCTTACACATCTGGCACTCAGCATGGCGGACACATGTGAGTTGAGGTGACCTATAAAAATGTGGAGGGCGCAACTTCATAGCTAGGGACGATTACTACCAAGCTCCTTCCGCCCTCGGCCTTTCGTCAGAAGCGCCAAAAGCCGACCGCCAGCGTTCTCTGCTTTCATCTCTCGTCAGTGAGCCCGGTGTTTAGTTGTTAGTGGAGAAATGGCTCTGCTTCCCAATACCGGGGTCTCTTCTCATGCTTTCAAGTCTGTTTTCTGCTTCCTAGCGCAGAACAAGCATTTGTCCTAAATTCCTGTACCAGCAGGAAGAGCGTCAGTATCTCTGCTGGCAAGCAGAACAAGCCTGGCTGGTTATGTTTCCCTGGGATGCATGGCTCGTCCTGATTCTAGCATGGTAGATTGACTTTCCCTCGCTCCCTACAGGGCAATCACAGTTTTGGATGTTCCAGACTGAGATTCACACACCTCTGGGAGACAATAAACCAGTAACTTGAACAAGGTTTTTTTTTTTTGAGATTATTTGTTATATAGCCTTAAGTGGATTGGTACTTCCAATTTAGCACAGGCTGGACTGGTACGTGTGATGTAGCACAGGCTGGACTGGTACTTGCAGTATTATTGTAATGTATAATACAAACCATTATTATAGCATGTATTATTATTGTAATGTATAATACAAACCATTATCATAGTATGCATTATTATAGTAATGTATAATACAATCCATTATAGCATGCATTATTATTGTAATGTATAATACAAACCATTATTGTAGTATATATTATTATTGTAATGTATAATACAATCCATTATTATAGTATGCATTTTTATAGTAATGCATATTACAAACACCCAATTCTCTTCCCTGTTTTTGTTTTTTTAAAGATTTTTTTAAATTCTTATTTGTATGTCTGAGTGTTTGTGTGTATACGTACGCATGAGTTCCTGGTGCCCACGAAATCAGAAGAGGGTGTGGGATTCCCTGGGACTGGAATTACAGATGCTTGTGAGCTGTCTCTTGGGTGCTGGGAACCCCTGGTCCTCTGCAAGTTTAGCAAATGTTCTTAACTACTGAGCCATCTCTCCAGACCCAGTGGGCCAATTTTTAATTTGTGTTTCTGCTCTGAGTCAGAAGTTTGGTGCAGGAAAAACTCTTCTGGCTAGAATTATTAGAATTCTTATTATAGATTTCCAGTTAACTCAAGAATGTTAAAAAGACTTTTATGGAGGATTTTTTTTTTGTAGTCCAATCAGAGTTGCTCTTTACAGCTGATTTTTCTTTGAGAAGAAGGTCATTTAAAAAGACTTATCACCATTCTCCCGTATACATGATTGTTTGCCTAAGTTCCAAAAAGACTTATCACCATTCTCCTGTATACATGATTGTTTGCCTAAGTTCCACGATAGCCAGTCATTCAAATCAAGATACTTGAATTGAATCTTGGCTATCTCCAAGATACCTTGGTGATAATTAAGGATCGGATTATTTTTTAAATAGGAAAGCAACAATATTGTGGAATAAATTCAGCCAAGAAGAAGATATAATTTAATAGAAAATAGCAATAGCTAACATACTGTTTGCCATTCAGTACATAATTCAGTCTTTAGAATAATCCTATCATTAATGTTACTAATCTCAATATAGAAATGATAAGAATGCCATTGAGTAAGTTTAAAAGGTCTGCGTGGTAAGCAATATTTTAGGATGAGAACCCGGGTCATCTAGCATTAGCTTCTTGCTTCTTAAAGTGAGGTCACTGAACCCACAGCCCAGGGGTCCCATTTCAGAGCTGCCGGACAGGAAGCTGTTCCTAGCAGGATCCTCTGATGATCTCGATGTTCACTGAAGTTTGTCAAGCACAGCTGTTCTTACCACTTCCCATACTTTCAAAATGTAACCTCCTTCCAATCCCTTATATCGTAAGCAAACACTATTGACATTGTTCATATGAGATAGTAGTAAATACGACTTTTCTTATTAAAACCAATGCATACGACAACACACAAACAGGCAAACAGAAACCTACAACACAGGCATTGTTAAAGCGAGGCAGAGGCAGGGTCCTGGGGCTTTGCTGTAATGATTAGCATTAGGACACTATTCTGACGACCCCTCGTGTTTCCACTATTCAAATCGGTTCACTTTGTGTATGTGTGTGTACATGTTCATGTATGTGCACTTGTCCATGCATGTGCAGATGGAGACGAGGGGTCACTGTCAGGTGTCCTCCTCAGTGGCTCTTTACCTTCCTTGTTCAGGAAGCTGACCAACCGATTAAGCTAGAGGCACTGACCGTGAGTGACCCATCTCTGCCCCCTGCCCTCAATGCTCCCTCAGTGCTGAGATGATAGACTTGCACGTTCCACTTGGCTTTTCCCCAAAGGCTGGGTACCAAACAGTAGGATGTTACACTTGTGCCGTCTCCCCAACCACGTAACTAGCTTTTAAAAGGTTATGTTGCACTAGGCGGTGGTGGTGCACACCTTTAATCCCAGTACTGGGGAGGCAGAGGCAGAGGCCAGCCTGGTCTACAGAACTAGTTCCAGGACAGCTGGGGCTGTTACACAGTGAAATCCTCTCTTGAGTCCCCATCCCCCCAAAAAGGGTTATATTGCTTTGGTCTTAAGAGGATGAAAAATAGCCCCCCTTTCAAAATTATCAACTTAAAACTACTCGAATATAAACTTGGAAAGTACAGATAGTGCCGACATCTGCATCGTTCACCAACGTGGGATTTGATTCCAAGTTTTGGTATGATGGCATTGCTGGATGTCTTTAGATGAGAGGGTCTCATCGTGTCTTTTGAGTTCAGAGTGTTGAGCTTTTGCAGTGTCCTGGGATGGAGATTTTACACTTTTGGAAAGGTGGTAAAACAGTTTAGAGATCTGGCTTTGCAATCTCCCTGAGCTGCGAACATCCTAGAAACGATGCCCTTTGTGCTACAGGCGCATGATTGTTGATTGTTTGTGTCTTTTTTTGTTTTACAGCGCTGGGATATGAAACTCCGTCATCTTGGCCTGGGTAAGACGGATGCTGGTGATTCCACTCAGAGTCAGAAGTCTGGCAGGAACTCTCATCCCCGGCCAGCGCGCAGCTAAGTCCTGAAATGCAAAAGGCCACACCATGGACTCCCTGCTAAGACTTGCATTGCTGGACCTAGCGAGGGAAAACTGCACGATTGCACTCACTGACGTATTGTTTACTACAGATACCGTGTGGCAACTGACGTTACTTCTGCATCCTCTCTGCTTCTTAATGGCCCGTGTTAGACCCTTAGATCTGTCAAAGATCCCATTTTACTAATCACGGGGAAACTGTTCTTTCTCGACAGTAATAGTAAATTAGGCATGCTGATGCCAAGGTCTTTGTATCAGTCCCCAGGCATCGGTTTCGTGTTCTGTATCCAGATTGAGAATGCAATATTGGATGTAATGAGAGATTTGTGGCAATATCGAAAGCCAGACATTGCTGTAAGACCGCCCTGCTGGTGCACGCCCAGCCTTGTTTTTGTATGCCTGTTGGGCATTTCCCTCATGCTATGGGAGTCCTAGATGTTTATTAAAGGTAGCATGGCAGCTGGAAATTAAATCCTGCACATGCAGACAGCACAGCACCAGGAAGCATTTATGAGGAAATGACACCCAGCATGAATAGTTCTCAAGATTGGCAGGAAGCAAAACAAAGAGTGTCAGGAGCCAAGGGAAGACGATTTTGCCTGTCTAAGAAGCATTCTGGGACCAGTAGCCCTTGGGCCATTAACAGCGGTGTTCTCTCTTTTGGTGATGTGTTTGGTCTGTGCATAACTATATTAATGGGCATTAGAGAAAGACTTATAGCTAGACACCTGCCATTATCACCATAGCTCTGCTTCCTTCTAAAGAAAGCCCACTGTTAGACGTCTCCCCACTTCCGTTCATAATGAATTTGGCTTGCTGTATTGACCAGAAAAAGACACTATTAAAGTAGCATGCATGTGCACCCGGGTCTTATTTTAAAGAGGTATGTGGCTTTGTAAATCATTGTCGTTACATATAGGGCAGTGAAGTGTGCAAACTTGTTTTTATTTTTTTCCCTTTGGGCTTGTGGTTTTGTTTCTGTGGTGTGTGTACGTCTGTGTTTGTGTGGGGGCGGGTCTACAGCTTCACACACCCAAGTCGGACTAGACTGGGCCGGCCCATTGGCCTAGGCATTGCATTTGCATTTGTACTGCGTAAAGCTCAGTCAGACTGTCTAATACAAGGAAGCACGCTGTCAGGAGAGGGATCCTTCTGAGTTTTAGACAACGACAACAAAATGCTTTTATTATTCAAGCTGCAGCAAGCCCCCGAGATAACATGGGAAAGCTGTGATGTTGCTCCTTCTTTCCCGCAGCGGGGATCTTTCGAGCATGCGCCAATCACTGGAACGTCTCATTTCCTGCAGTTTACACATGCGATAGTAGTAGATCTGGATTCCTAAGCTACGGTGTGCTGAAAATAAAACATGTATGAAGCAATGCTATGTATGTTTCCTTCTGTAAGAACCACCGTGCAGGATGAAATTCATTCTGAACAGAAGTTTCCCTTGTCGGCAATTAATAGCTCATCTGACTTCTTTCTTTTAGCAGCACAAAAGCATCCTTTTGTTCGTTTTGTTTCGAGTGGACCCTAAACAGCAAAATTTTCCCCAAATTCAGAAGCAGAGTCCCATGTTTGCCTGTAGGAGGACAGCCCAGGCTTGGCTCTACCATATGGTTGCTTTCAGGTACTTTGTTGTGTAGTCTCTGATGCTGGGGCAGGGATGTCTCCTCCTGTGTGCTCTCATCATCCTTTTGAGGAGAATTTTGTGTCATTAAGTAGGGGCAAAGTGCTGAGCTAGGGATGCTGGCCTCCAGTCCCTCCTAGGGTATCTGTCTTGGCTCTGGGTTCCCAGGCTGAATGCATCCATTCTTTCTGGTTGTCTCAGGGCTTCCACAGCAACCCTGGGGAAAGGGCAGACTTGGTTTCTGAAGACCTGAAGGATCTGGCATCTGGAGTTCCTAACATGCTATCAGTGTTTCCAGGGCACAGTTGATATTTTTTTTGTTTTGTTTTGTTTTGTTTTTTTGTTTTTCAAGACAGGGTTTCTCTGTGGCTTTGGAGCCTGTCCTGGAACTAGCTCTGTAGACCAGGCTGGTCTCGAACTCACAGAGATCCACCTGCCTCTGCCTCCCGAGTGCTGGGATTAAAGGCGTGCGCCCCATTGCCCGGCAGTTGAAGCTATTTTATGTGATGAAAAATTTACTGTTCTGTTATTTTCTTTTCTTATGGTCCTGAAGATGGAACCAGACCCTAGGAATGCTAGACAGGTTCTCCACCACCAAGCTACACCCCCAGCCAGTGATGAAATAGTTGGATATAAATGAAAAACCTGCAGATATCTTGTTTAGGGGCATAGATAGGAAAACAATGGTTTTTAATGCAGGGCTCTCACCTCTAATAGATTTATAATTCATGCACAATCGCATTTATAGACAAAAGGGAATAACCTCTCAGATTAAGAAGTGTTCTCGCAACCTTTCCTCCATCTTAGTCCTCTGTACTAGTGGTGTCTGGTCTTGTTTGTCTGTATGAGACTTGTCATTTCTGTGAACTCTTTCAGTGTGGCAACACCGTGAGTGAAGCATGTGCTGTTTTCCAGTGTGTTAGCTGCACCTTCACTAACAGTGCAGACATCTCAGAAGACAGCACGGCTGTGTCATGACAGTCAGAGACAGCACGGCTGTGTCATGACAGTCAGAGACAGCACGGCTGTGTCATGACAGTCAGAGACAGCACGGCTGTGTCATGACAGTCAGAGACAGCACGGCTGTGTCATGACAGTCAGAGACAGCACGCTGTGTCATGACAGTCAGAGACAGCACGGCTGTGTCATGACAGTCAGAGCACGGCTGTGTCATGACAGTCAGAGCACGGCTGTGTCATGACAGTCAGAGCACGGCTGTGTCATGACAGTCAGAGCACGGCTGTGTCATGACAGTCAGAGCACGGCTGTGTCATGACAGTCAGAGCACGGCTGTGTCATGACAGTCAGAGACAGCACGCTGTGTCATGACAGTCAGAGCACGGCTGTGTCATGACAGTCAGAGGACAGCACGGCTCTGTCATGACAGTCAGAGCACGGCTGTGTCATGACAGTCAGAGCACGGCTCTGTCATGACAGTAGGTTTCTTTTTTCTTTTTTAAAGAGATTTATTTATTTATTATGTATACAACATTCTGCCTACATGTATGCTGCAGGCCAGAAGAGGGCACCAGATCTCATTACAGATGGTTGTGAGCCACCATGTGGTTGCCAGGAATTGAACTCAGGACCTCTGGAAGAGCAGCCAGTGTCTTACCTTTGATCCATCTCTCTAGCCCATATATTTCAATTTTAACTATTTTCTCTATGTGTGTGAATGTTTGGCATGCACTACGTGTGTACCCAGTGCTCTCAGAGTCTAGAAGTTACCTCCAGGAACTGTAGGTACCAATGGATGTGAGCTGTCACATGGATGCTGGGACTAGAACCGGGATCCTCTGAAAGAGCAGCCAGGGCTCTTAACCTACCTGACAGTCAGGTTTCTAAGCAGATTGCAAAACCATTCTATTCCGCTATTGTCACGCATGTCTCACTGGTGTCTCTCGATGGCCCTTTATGCTCACCTTGGACTCCAGTAAAAGCCAGGTAGTGGTGGTGCATGCCTCTAATCCCAGCACCTGGGAGGCAGAAGCAGGTGGATCTCTGTGAGTTCAAGGCCAGCCTGGTCTACAGAGTGAGTTCCAGCAGAGCCAGGGTTACACAGAGTAAACCCTGGCTTGAAAGACAAAAACAAACAAGAAAAGCCACTAAAAATTTAACGTACGTGACTGCGTCTCAGGAAACCACGAGGCCTTTAGAGTCTATTGAAATTTCCTTAAGAAAAATTTGCTCGCCTTAGGATTTTAGTTTTCTCAGCCAGGCAACCACAGAGCTGTCATACTCATGCTGAAGAAACGAGGGGAAAATGAGTCGCGGGCGTGTATTCTGTTTTCCATGGCTTCGTGAGTGTTCACTGTATTGTGTATAGTGAAACCTGACTCGGTGTCCATGGCACAGTGAGCGTGGGGGGCGGGGGGCGACAGGCCCGTGTCTCTCCACATCTGTTACCTATTAAGGAGTCAGATACAAAAGTTACGACCGCCGTGAGTAAACAGCCCTACTTACTGCCTTCTGCAACACATTATTTGCTATTACATTTCAGCAGTAAAATGACTTTTCAGAAAGCATTTCAAGGCTGGTAATTGTTTAGCCCTATGGATTTTAACATTTTAACACAGAGAAAAGCACTAAAGAAGATGATAAAAACGAAGCCAAGATTTTTAGTCGGGTGTCACTGAAATGCGGCTTCGGCTCCCAGCTGCATTCCTGCTAACCAAAATAGTGTAGGCAATGATGGGGATCTCTTTGGGGTCCTGCATAGCTGTGGGGAGAACTATACGAAACACTTACACAGGTCCTCTCGGTGCCTTAAACGTTTACGGTATGAGTCCCACTTCATGAAGGAATTGGAGATGCGGGACTTCAGACATCTTCAGTGGCAGAGAGGGGCTTTAGAATCTTAGTCTTCTTTCCCCAGGTTGTATGTTTTCTGCTGTAATTGCTAATAAAAATATAAATGGGCCTTAATATTATTTTCAAAAAGCACAGTGAACAGCGAGTGGGAGAGCTGCTGACAGAGCCAGGAAACCTACACCACGTCGTCCAGCATTACCCCAAATACTGTCATTTCACCATCCACGTGGTCTCCCCCAACTCTGAAGCCAAAATTTCAGTGCAATTGTTCTAGTCCTGGATGGCTGGGTAAATGAGCCAAGTGGTTCTTTTGACATTGGTATCTTTGAGATAAATGAGTTCGAGTTAGAAAATGGTTATATTTCTTTTTTGTCTTCCCTTTGAATTTGGAAAAAGTCTGAAGCTCTGGTATTTGGCAAGGCTTGGAAGAAGGTGAAGTCAAAGGGTGGTGGCAGCTACACAAAAAACTCAGTGGTTGTCTTCCAAAAGGGAGGGGCTGTCGTGTCCCAGGCAGATCATTACCTTTATCCCTCAACCATCAGGGGCATCACAGTCTAAAAAGAGAAACGGTTCCACATGGTCTATTTTCCCAGCTTGTCGTTCAGGTTCAGCATGTTGTTGTAAGACAAAGATGTCTTTCTCTGAATAAAATGCAAGCCTAAAGTTTTCTGCTTGGTGACTGCTGCAAACTTGAGTTGTTGGCTCATGGAGGAGGAGAGGGTGCGATGTTTCTGGTCAGTTTGTCTCGAAGGAAAGAAGTGTGGACTGCGGAGGATGCTGATGCAGAGATGAAGGGCAATGTGGACAAGAACTTTGCAATACCCACAGGGATGTGAGGGTGAGCCAGCTCCCACTGTATACTGGCTCTATAGTCACATGTTGGCATAGCGACGTGGGAAGGATGCTATTGCTGTAGGCCAGGCTAGGCCCTTCTGCAAGAGGAGTGAGGGGGAAGCATGAGATAGCTCAGAGATGTTAGTCTGTGATGGAGGGGCAGAGTAATTCACCATACTGAATGGCAGATAAAGCTCATAAGAAAAGTGGACTGGATTCATTCTGATGTCTATTTCTCCATCATTTGAGTGTTTCTATGGAAACCATAGCTTCTTGGAGGTTGCACTCCTATGTACTGGTGTAGCTGGAACCAATATTTCTGAGGGACAACTGAAAAGGCATAGAAGTTTATTTTAGCTTCTTTTTAGATTTTTGTTCTGTTTTTGACTTTGTGGAGTTAGGGTCCATTGTGAGGCAGAACATTGTGGTCAGATCATGTGTAAAGGAAGCTGTTGCCTTCACAGTAGACAGAAAGCACGGAGTATAACCATCAAGGGCACACCTCTAGGGACCCACCTCCTCCAGCTAGCCCTGATCCCCTAAAGTCTTCGGAATGTCACAAAATGATGTCATCGACTGGGAAATGAACCACATGGACATATGGGGGACATTTTATATTCATAGCTGAAGAGCAATGTTTGAGATAAAAAAAAATTCTAGAAGAACCCGGCAGAAAAAGAAATGAACACAAAATCTCAGCTGAAAACCTTTCCCCAGGACACAGAATTCGAGGAAATGTCAAAGCCTTAATGAGAACCATGAAGGCCAGAGGAGGCGTACAGCTGAGACCACACTGGCCTCTCAGCGCACTGAGCTCTTTCTGTCAGGGCCCCTGCACCTCCTCTGCTTTCCCACCTAGTACTTGGGTGATAACGGCAAACAAATGGCTGTGTCTTTATGTTAAGAACTGCTAGGAGATCAATCGTGAAGCAACTATTAAGAAATAATATTCCTTAAATCCATTGATCAATATTCATCTAGCTCTTTTAAATTTCCTTTAGATCCTCAGGTCAGGAAGTCTGGGTCTGTGTACACACTCCCGGAAACTGCCAACCGTCCTCTTTCCTTGGAGACAGTGCCTGGCATTTAATCAAGACCT